AGCACCCTGCACCACCCCTCACCACCCGGCGCTGCCCCTCACCACCCGTCAGCACCCTGCACCGCCCCCTACCACCCGTCAGCACCCTGCACCACCCCTCACCACCCGGCGCTGCCCCTCACCACCCGTCACCACCCCGCGCTGCCCATCATCACCCTGCACCGCACCTTGACTTAACGAATAAATTCTCTGGCTTCCACCTTTTATTAACGGCTGTAATTGAAGAGCTCATCGTTAGTCAGTTTAATCATGTTTAGTGAGTTCAGAAAAGCTGATTCTAGACCAACTATGAGTAGAAGTCCAACTGTTTTCTATCAAGCAGAGGAAGCAAGTAAAGGGGGTTGAAGACAAATCCTACAACTTATTTGTCTTTCATTTCACTACTAAACTTGTCTCTAAACTCGTCTGCTGTTCTAACACTCTTTAACCAGATATGCAATTATAATAAAGTGTTTTTATACATCCTTAGGAATGTAAAACAAGGTCTTATTGTATAAAGAGATATTCATCCATCCACTAATTCTATTGGATTGGTGGTTCCAAACCAAAATGGCCGAGGTGTTTGGTCTTTTTTACTGTCTGTCAGCCATCTTGGTTTCACTGACTTTTTTTTTCATTAGAATGATCAATAAATGGGATTTATCTGTATGGGATGATGCAATAGCTTCCACTAGATTGGACTATATGCATAAGTGCCCAAAATTAAAGGCATATTTATAGAAAATAACACTTTTAAACAGCTCCACACTGTAGTTAGTGATCAGAGTTCAAATCCTAGTAACATACATCCCAGCTATATCCAACATTCCTAAAACTTTCTCTACTAGTTTATTTCTATTAAAATGATTTGCTTTAATACCACTGAAGGTCCTTACCCTCCGGATCTCCTCTTCCCACCGCGGCCAGACACGGCGCCTCCCATTCTCACCTGGCTGCTCGCCACTCCTCCAGACATCGCTACTGGACCTGGCAACTCGCTCGCCATTTCTAGAAGGTTCAACAATGGAGAACAGAGGAAACCAGCAACAACATCAAACATTTATAAGACTTTTCCTTAGTTTCAACACTTTACACATCATAAGGTCTGCTAAGTTCTGTTAAAAGAAAGCAGATGAAAATGCAAGGCGAGGACGCTGTGTGTGCAGAGGAGGAAGAGTGTTTGGTCCAAAATGACCACGCTCCTTCAGGGCGTCCAACCAGCTGCAATGCAGTGTTTAACAAGCTCTTTAGAAACACTACCGCCATGTTTATTAAGCTTGGCATCTGCAGTAGCTTTCATTCATTTAACTGCCTAAATTATGATTTTATCAAGTCTACTGAAGGATTCTCAGCAGACATTGAAATGAAAAGGACTAAACGGTTTAATAAATACAGTAACTGATGATAATGATGATCTCTGGAATGAGAGGAATGAGCCGTGGCTCCAGAAGCCCTGTAAAGGCAGAATAAATGAGTGAACAGGTCCTACAGTGGATTAGAGCGACACAAAGAGCTCAGAGTTAAAGCAATAAATCACCATCTGACTGAAAACTAATTCTAGCAAAAATTATTATAACCAAAAACATGCCGTAGATGGAGCATCCACTTTTCCCTGGTTAAATACAACGGACGTTGTAGAAGCTTGTTAGGATAATTATCATTGCTGATGTGCGAGTTTATTACACCTTAATATTAGCTGCCTGTGGCGCATCAGAACTGATGTTTTAATCTAATTAGGCCAGTTTCTCTGTCTGGATATCCAGTTATGATCTTCATTCTGTACGTGAAATAGATGTGGGAATGAGAGCGGCGTCCTTCTATGGGGCCAAAATTATTGCTTTATTTTTTACAAATGCGTGTGGAGAGTTGTGTATCTGTATTTCGATTTGTGAGTGTGCAGGGGGATTTGAAAATGTGTAAATGAAACTGTAAATGTGTGAGGAGATTTGTGTGTCTGTACAACAATATGCTAATGTGCAAAACTACTTGTGTGTGTGTAATCTGGTTTGCAAATGTGTAAAAAATCCACAAATCTGTCTTCAGATCTACAAATGTGTACTGAAATGTGAATGTGAATCTGAAAAGCCACCTGGACTCCGAAAGTAAAGATAGTCTATTGATATGTTTGTTCGTTTTTGGTACATTTTGAGTTATTTTTGCTACACAAGAGGTTTTTTTTGTTAATTAGCTCATTTGTTAATCTATTTTTTCCAATAGCCTACAGAACAGACATTATTTCATTCATTGCTGAGGCTGAGTATCATCTGTTATTGGGAGTTGAGAGTTATTGTTAGCTTTTATTGTTAAGTGAGGGATGTTTAGATGACACATTATTTCTTTCATTGTGCTATTCATTCATTACAGGAATTGTTAAGCATTTTTAATAAAAACATTTTGAATAAAATTATTGTTTGTTATTGGAGTTATTGCTGTTGACTTTTACTGAAAAGCATTTTTAATAAATCAACTGTAAATATCATGTTATCATAGGATTACGTAGGTCTATGTTAAGTGAGTGCATGCCACAGACATCTCTATGCATTGGAACCGACATCCCAATCTCCCCATCCACAAGGTGTCCTGGTTTTCCCAAATGAAAATATGGTCACCCTAGTCCTACGCGCTCATCCCCATTTTCAGTTACTGGTGGCGAGTCAGACATTGGGGAAAAATTACAAATCTTCTTTTGTTTGTTTTCTTTGTATTTCAGATATATCTAATAATATTCCTCCTTTTTAAATGAATGTATCATCCAAAACTAATCTAATACACATTTAAACCTAATCTAAAACACATTAAATCCTAATCTATATTGCATTTAATTGAAATCTAAACCACACCTAATCTTAATCTAAACCACATTTAAACCTAATCTAAACTGCATTTAATTCTAATCTAAACCACATCTAAACCAAATTTAATCCCAATCTAAACAAAGTCTAAATCACATTTGATCCTGCTCTAAACCACATCTAATCTTAATCTAAACCACGTCTAAAGCACATTTAATCCTAATCTAAACCCACTTTAATCCTAATCCAAACCACATTTAATCCCAATCTAAACCACATTAAATCCTAATCTAAACCACATTTAAACCCCATCTAAACTGGATTTAATTCTAATCTAAACCACATCTAAACCACATTTAATCCCAATCTAAACCACATCTAATCCTAATCTAAACCACATTTGATCTTAATCTAAACCAAATTTAAACCTAATCTGAACCCCATTTAATCCTAATCTAAACTACATTTAATCCTAATCTAAGCCAGATCTAAACCTAATCTAGACCACATCTAAAACTAATCTAGACCACATCAAAACCTAATCTAGACCACATCCAAACCTAATCTGAACCACATCTAAAGCACATCTAAATCACATTTGATCTTAATCTAAACCACACCTAATCTTAATCTAAACCACGTCTACATCAAATTTAATCCTAATCTAAACCACATCTAATCCTAATCTAAACCACATCTAATCCTAATCTAAACTGCATCTAATCCTACTCCAAACCACATCTAAAACTAATCTAGACAACATTTAGTACTAATCTAAACCACATCTAAACCACAATTAATCCTAATCTAAACCTCATCCAAACCTAATCTAAACCACATTTAGTCCTGATCTAAACCAGGTCTAAACCACATTTAATTTTAACAAAAAGGGACAACTAAATGGTGGAACCGGCCCTGCTAACTGATCCTGGGTGGAGGGCGGGACCTGTTAATGGTGGAACCGGCCCTGCTAACTGATCCTGGGTGGAG